TATTATGAATTATATCACTTGTCAATAATTTGATTCCTTCAATTCACCTTAAATCTATGACTGGTTGCTGTCATCACTGATGACTTCAAATGTAGATCTGCATAAAAGAGATAGCATTGGTTTTATGGTTAAGAAACATTGTAATCATAGGTAAAATTGACAAAATTAAAAAAATTAGATTTGTGACAGTTTAAAAGTATTCAGCATTTTTTAAAATTTCATACTAAAAATCTGTCCATTATTTTTCTCTATCTTATCTACATGGAATATGGAATAAGATGTTAATATATGTATAATAATTCTTCTCCACACTTTAAAAAGATAATATAGATGCATATCTTCAAATTCTTAGATTATTATTTGTCTAATTATAGTATTTCTACCAATAACAGTGAAAAGAACTAATTATTTGGACTATAATTTCACTTTCATTAATGAGGTCCTTAATGAAGCCTCTATGTCTTTCAGCTATATTTAGTTCCATTTTATAGTATTTATACAGCCTACATTTTTTTTTTCTTGACATTAGTTTTGACCATCTATCTCAGGATTACAAATGCAGACAAAACACTGGCTGAATTTAGGTGCCCTTCCACAGCTACTTCCTTCTGTCTGTAGAGAATATGAAATAAGAGGCATTGACTAAGATTATTAGTATTTTATTTTAAAATGAAAATAGAGTTGAGATGGATATGCAGGGCCAAGTGCAAGCAGAGCAGTCAATTTGGAGAGAACAACATATTCCTGACCACCCAGTTCATTACCTCCCTTTTATGCTTCAGCTCTGTATCATTTTTCACCCTCACCATCCTGAAATCACTTATTGTTGTAAAATTTAGGCTGTTGAGACCAGATTTTGTCATTTTTGACCAATAGTTCTCACTGTAACATTTGTTCCAAAAGTCAGATTTATTTCTAGCAACTACTCAGATATTTCCAAGATGTCTTAAGAGCAACCATAGGAAGACTCATGTTAGCTGTATTATTCAATTAAGTCAATTTGTAACAATTTGATGATTATGCATATATACTAATGTTAACATAACATACAAAATATTACTCCGAACTTAACTATTTGGTGCTAAGTTGTTGATAAATAAAATTAACTAACTTGGAAATGGAGGAGGTAATGGAAATTTTATATAATTGTCTCCATATACACCAGTGAGAAACAGAGAACCATTTTCCTTTAGCACGAAACACGGAGAACCACTTACCCTTACTTACGCATTCTCATTTTCCTAGATATTCACTGAGTTTGTA